CACAGTCCGACGTGACTTGGACTGAGACTGACAAAATAATAGATAGGTGGCTATAGGAGGGCGCTGCTAGTAGATCATAGGGTATTTCGCGTATCGTATGGCGGTACAAATGAACTTTCTAACACTTCCCCTCGAGATGCGAAAAATCTCCGACTTTGACAACAACGTCCTTAAGGCCTAAATTTTCGAGACATTTGGTATGCTTAACTCGCGATAGCCCCTTCGTAAGAACGTCGGCCGCCATGTCCTCCGTGCAGACATGTTCGATCTTCAGGTGTCCACTCGCCACGATCTCACGAACGAAGTGGTGACGTACATCTATATGCTTGGTCCTGTTGTGAAAAACCGGATTCTCAGCCAGTCTTTCAGCTCCAGAACTGTCGTTAAGTATGGTCAGATCGGCCAAATTCCCGAAACCCAGTTCACTGAGAAATCTCCTAAGATATATCCCTTCCTTGGCTGCTTCGGTCAGGGCCATATACTCCGACTCGGTCGATGAGAGAGCAACTGTTTCCTAGATTCCCAAGATATTGGACAATTACTCAGGATGTAAACGTACCCAGTGTACGACCTTCTATCATCCAGGCAGTTTGCCCAGTCAGCATCGACGTAACATCTCAATGGCTTCGGTACCTTCTTGAAGAGTAGTCCCACATCGGCAGAACCTTTCAGGTAGCGTAGAACCCTCTTCGCGGCTATCCAATGACTCCTGTCGTAGCAGGAATTAAATTGGCTTAGGTGACTTACCGCATAGGCGATATCGGGTCTGGTGCTTACTGCCAAATACATTAGGGCTCCCACCAGCTCCCTGTATGGTAGATTCCGTTCCTCCTCGGATGACTCTTCGCTTCTTTTAAGCTTTACACTGATATCCATCGGAGTAGAAACTGCTCTTGAGTCCGACATGCCGAAGCGTTCAAGAATATTCCTTATATATCCTCTCTGACTCATGTTAATCTCGTCGCCGTCTCGCGAGAACTCGATCCCGAGACAGTACTTTACTTCTCCGAGATCCTTGACTTCAAACTTCGTGGATAAGTATCTCGTAAGCTTGGCGATGTGACTCTGGTTCCGTGATGCAATCAGTAGATCGTCCACGTAGATGGCTACCACAAGTATATGTTCCCCTCGACCTTGGTAGTATACGCAAGGATCAGCCGCAGATTGGGTAACTCCGTAATTCAACAGTACCTGATTTAACTTAACGTGCCAGTGACGACCGGCCTGACGCAGACCGTAGAGTGCTTTATTCAGGAGACATACTTTATTGCCTTCTCTCAACTCGTTCAGCATCTTGGCCGCCTTCTTCCCGATCGCGCTGCTCTCTCCGTCCATCTGAATTATTAAATCCAGTGCTTCTTCTGTAAATCTAGGAACCTCCATGAAGACTTCTTCCTCGAGGACACCATTCAAGTAAGCCGTCGTAATGTCGAGTTGGTTTATCATCATTCCGCACTGAGCTGCCAATGCCACAATCGTACGTATTGAACCGAGACGTGCCACGGGTGAAAAGGTTTCGTCGAAGTCGATTCCAGGGCGTTGCGAGAAGCCTCTCGCAACAATCCGTGCCTTTCTTCGTTCCAGGTTTCCCTCTTGATCGTATTTGTTTCTTAGAACGGCACGACTGCCGATTATATGCGACGTCTCCGGTCGGCTGACCAGTACCCAGGTGTCATTCTTGATGATTGACCTCAACTCTGCAGCTATCGCATGGAGCCACTCGTCTGCGTTAGGTCCTCTTATGGCCTCTTGAACCGGGATCTCGGATATACCTGCAAAATCAGCATCTTCGTGTAAGTCGTACACAACGTTATATTGCTTCGCGGGTCTTCCCCTGCGTCCTGTCATTACTCGTCTGGGCCTGCCCGCGACTCTTCTAGGAATTCCCGGGGGTACGTCCTCTCGAACGACGACCTCGTCGCGATCATCCGCCGGTTCTTCAATGTCGTCCTCACTGTGATCGTGTATATCTTCTTCACCGTCGATACCAGCTTCCTCCGGTAAATCTTGCGGTTCGTTGACCTGAATTGGTAAGTCGACGCATCTTCGATCCGGTACATCCGTATCTTCTACAGCAAAATCTTCGTACGCCTTCTCCGTGGTAGTGCCATTCTCCTCGATGAACCTTACGTCTCGAGTTATATCCACACGTTTCTCCACCGGTATCCAAACCCTGTACGCTTTTGATTGTTCGGAGTAACCGACGAGTATTCCCTCTCTGGTCCGAGATTCAAATTTGTCCTTGTTCGGCTCTCTCCTCAGGCTGAAAACTTTGCAGCCGAATTGTCTGAAATAACTCACGTTAGGCGCTGATCCGGTCCACTTTTCAAAGGGAGTCTTACCGCAGATGCTGCTCGATGGACATCGGTTTCTGATGTAGTTTGCCGTATTTACGGCCTCGCCCCAGAACGATGAGGGTAGTTCAGACTGGAGAAGTAGACATCTCGCCGTTTGAATAAGCGTACGGTTCTTTCTCTCTGCAATCCCGTTCTGTTGGGGCGTGTGCGTAGTAGTTAGCCTGCGTCCGATTCCATTTTCCTTCAAGAACTTGTCGAAGACCTCGTTGCGATACTCCTTACCGTTGTCCGACTGTAGGAATTTAATCTTTCTTCCGGTCTGATTTTCAGCAAATGACTTAAATTCCTTGAATGCGTTGAAAACTTCGTCCTTCCTTTTGAGTAGCCGAATTTCACACCAACGCGTACAATCGTCGATAAAGGTTACGAAGAATTTCGCTTTTCCGTTTGACTCGACTCGCATCGGTCCACATAGATCCGAATGAATTATCTCGAGCATTTCGGAATTCCTTTCGTTACCGCGTGGGAATGGAGTCCTCGTAGTTTTTCCGCGGATGCATATTTCACAGTCGAGATCCTTCTTCGGTCCTTTAATATCGATTCCGCGTAAATTTTCGCTGCGACATCCTTCCAGAAGATCCTTGGCGTTGAGGTGTCCCATCCTCCGATACCATACTTCAAAAACGGTGGTTTTTACTCCTCTCTGGGTCGCCTCTTCCTCGATCGAATTACTCTGGTGCGTTCCTTCACGTAAGTAATAAAGTCCGTTAGTCCGATCGGCCCTCAGTATTGAATTTCCGCACTCGTCGATGACGTTGGCTGAGTACTTTTCGAAGATAACCTTGAAACCTTTGTCTGTTATCTTACCGACCGATAACAAATTTGTCCGCAGATCGGGGACGTGCAATGTGTCGGTCAGGGTCACGCCCTTCGACCGTCCGTCAAAATCCGCCGTGATCGACACGACTCCTTTGGCCTGGATCTTCGTCGAGTCGTTGCTGGCGAGATTCAATATTCCGGATTTAGTTTCCGTGATTTCCGTGAAGTTCTCCGAGCCTTTGCACATATGCGCGGTGCAGCCACTGTCCAAGCACCAATTGCCGCGACTTGCTGTATCTTCCGCACCGAATGCTTCTCGTTGATCAGATTCAACGGCCCGTACGAGTAGACTCACGTTCTCTTCTTGCTTCGTGTTCTTCTTCCCCTCTGCTGGTTCGGAACATTCAGCGGCCTTGTGTCCTACCTTTCGGCAACGATGGCATTTATACTTGAACGTTCCATCATTCTTGGGCTTGTCTCCGCCGCTTTTGTACTTATTCGCATTTCGCCGCTTGCCGACTGGTTTCCTGGCGAGCATCGCGTTAGTTTCCGTGGTGCATGTACCCTTTGTTCGCGCGTCGCTCTCTTCCACAATTTTTATGCGTAATGCTTCCGGCGTCGGTAATTCATCGCGGGACTCGATCGCGCAACGAAAGTTCTCGAATCTAGGAGGCAGACTGTACAATAGCATTACAGTTAGCAGATCGGGGTTAATACTCACTTCCATCTCGTTTAATTTATCGATGGTATCGAAGAATTTCCGAGTATGTTCTCGCACGTCTTCGCCGTCATTCATTCGATGTAAGGTCAGCTGCTTAAGCAGCGCGGCTTTCTTGGCCGGTCCCTTCGACTGGTAGATCGACTGTAGCCTTTGCCAGACCTCGCTTGACGTGGTGCATCCCTTCACCTGCTTGAGTTCGGACGGACTGATTGACAATATAATGTCCGATCTTGCCTTTTTGTCTTGGATTTCCCACGTTCTTGCTGACTCAATCGACGCTGTATCTCCGCTGACGATCGCGGGTTTAGGTTTATCTCCGCATACATACGGCCACGCGTCGTTCTTCAGAAGTAGCGCTTCCATCTGAATTTTCCACGTGTCGTAATTTTCCTTATTTAACATTTCGATCCTCACCGAGCTGGATGCAGCCATGTTTGCCTTCCTTTTCTTGTCGGATGAGAGGAAAATTCCAGAATGCGTTTCTAACCTTGTTGTCACTCGCGCGGTGTCTCGTCCTTTTTGATTCTAGTGGCCTGGGCCCATAACCTGTTGGAGTTTTGCTCAGGTGGGAAGGAATCACAGGCGATAGATAGAGACGTCGGTATCACAGCAATACTTGTTTAATGTGAGATATACGTAAGGATAAGAACAGATAGTGTTACATATAGGCGTTAACACACAGTCCGACGTGACTTGGACTGAGACTGACAAAATAATAGATAGGTGGCTATAGGAGGGCGCTGCTAGTAGATCATAGGGTATTTCGCGTATCGTATGGCGGTACAAATGAACTTTCTAACAGAAACTATTAAAAGTTGCTGTGTGATGTAAGTTATTAGTTTATATTTCTAGTAATTAATATTATACCTATACTTATTCTATATCTATATTCTATTTACATTTATAAGTAATTAAATATTTATATTTCTTATGTGAAACATTTCTTATATTGTAGACAATGGATAATGAAGAAGAAATACTGGCATTATCAATATTAGTTCTTGGTATATACATATATATTAAAAAAACGAATATCATTTCGTTGGACAAATCGAAAATATTGGGTACGACCAATTAATATGAGATGTCCTGATCAAGGAGACTTTCATCATTTATTACAAGAGATGAAAAATGATCCGTATATGTTTTTTCGCTACACAAGAATGTCCACTTGTATTTTTAAACAATTATTAGATATGTTAAAGCCATTTTTATTTAAAAAAAGTCATCGTGCATTGATACCTGAACAACGCCTTGCTCTGACTCTTCGGTATGTATTTGACATAAATAATATCTTTTATAGGAAAGAAGTATTAAATTAACTATGTCAATTTTTTATTCATATCAGATACCTTGCTACAGGAGATCAAACCTTATCAATCGCCTTAGCATATCGCATTGGGGAATCGACGGCACGTAAAGTAATACAAGAGACTTGTACTGCAATTATAAAAGTATTAGCGCCTACATACTTACAAGCTCCTAAAGAAGAAGATTGGCTAAAAATATGTGAAGGATTTTGGACAAATTGGAACCTGCCAAATTGTTGTGGAGCAGTTGATGGGAAACACGTGCAAATACAAGCTCCTCCAAATTCTGGAAGCTTGTATTTCAATTATAAGAAGACTTTCAGTATTATATTAATGGCGGCATGTGACTATAACTATAAATTCACGTTGATAGATGTTGGAGCATATGGCAGTAATAGTGATGGCGGAGTTTTTTCAAGATCAAAGTTTGGTGAAGCTATGTACAATGGAAATCTGAATTTACCAAAAGGCGAAGCCACTTTACCCGGAAGTGCAACAAAGACAGCATGCTTCTTTGTTGGATATGAAGCATTCCAACTAACCAGAAATATGATGAGACCGTATTCAGGTCGTAATTTAAATTTAAAAAAAATTTAATTATAGATTATCTCGAGCTAGGAGAACTATAGAAAATTCATTTGGTATTCTTGTCTCGAGATGGAGGATCTTAAGAAAACCGATTGCCTTACATCCAAAAAATGTCGATAAAATAATATTAGCGACAATATGTCTCCATAATTTTTTAAAAACTGTAAACGATTTAAGACCTGTAGAACACAGGATTTATTGTCCTCCAAATTTTATCGATAATGAACAAGAAGATGGAACCATTACTCCTGGAACATGGAGGAGTGAGTGTTCTAGTATGAACAATGTAGAAATGGAGCGCTTAAGACCAACTGCTCATCGTGCAACTGCTGCTGCATATAAACAGCGGGATGATTTAGCTGATTATTTAATAAGTTCTGAGGGTAAAGTTCCATGGCAAGACGAGTACGTCAATAGAGGTTGGAATGGTCCCGATTTGATCGAATAAATATATTAATAATGTTTATTTGTAACCAATTTGTTTTATAAATAAATTTTTATAATAGCATAAATATATTTTTTATGTATTTCATATATTTTATTATCTTTTATGTATACATATTTATTCTTTCTACACCCTTTCGTTGCTAATTTTCGTAATCCTTCCGAACATGCTTAACATATCAAATAAAATATTAATAATTTTCGATTGAAATTACAATAGAAAATAAAATCTAAGCGCTGAAGTCTTTTCTCTCGTATGCTTAAAATACTTAAAAAGGAACATATAATAGAATTTGTCTTTAATATATATATATATATTTATCTTTAAAAGAATAGAGAGAGAGAGAAACATGAAAGAAAATTCGTGGAAAGAGATCAACAAAACAATGAACATATCAAGTAAGATTTAAATACTAATTTTTAGAATTTTCTATATAAAAAAATTATTAACAGATGTATGTAATAACTTTCAAATGTTACAGCCATTTACATCAAATAAGATATTTACAACTGTACAGGATATATATATGTTCAGTATCAACACGAACAGTATTCGTGTTCGCGCTGTCTTTTCGCGTAATAAACAGGTTGTATTGTTCGTGAATAGATTGGTTTATTGTTCAGTCTCGAAATACGCCACAAAATCACAATGTATCGCACTCGCGATAGAGATGCCCGCGACGACGCCTTGGGGCTGCTGCCCTGAGTCGCGGACGATTCGCATGT